TGTGTGTGTGTCTGTGTGCGCGGGGCGCGCACGCATATGAGACATGTGACACTAGCTTGTACTTAGGAGCAGGGAGCGTGAAGTCAGACTCTGACTGTGGTGTGACTTTCCACAGCTAGAAGTGGAACAAGGAAGGACAGATGGTGGCAGACTCAGGGACCTGGCCCACTGACACAGGCCTGCTGCCCCAGACCAGCTCTGCCCTCTTCCTCCCCGCCTGCTCACGTGGTCGTGAGGCTGACTGAGGCCTGTTTCAGCCACAGCAGCCTAAGGGCACCAGGGAGGCCTGGCTGCAGCAGGAGCGGTGAGGTCTGTCCTCTCCCACCCTCATCTCAGCATCAGGAAAATCTATTCACTGTAGACTGGAGGGACTAGGGGCTGGAGATGGGGGGAGAGCCATGAAAACAGCTCCTTCCTTAAAAGAAAGGGTGGACAAATCACTCCATCATTACTCTTCGTATCTAGGGAGACAGAGAGATGGAAAGAGAGACCAGGGTAAGGACTGAGAGAAGAATGAAAAATACAGAGAAACACAGAAGTACAGAGAGTCTAGACAGAAAGGTGCCAAGACAGAAATAGATACAGACACTGGGAGATAGAGAAACACACACCTGGAGGGTGTCTGGATGGAAGGTGCTGGGAGACGGGGTGGGGCTGAGTCAGAACTGATGTGGGGGGGTGGTCATGCAGGAAGCCGAGCCCCTGAGGCCCTGAGGGTCCTTGGGGAGTCTGGGACAGAAGGGCCTAGAGCCAGGGGTTCCCCACCTACCAGTATGGCCTATCCAAGGATGGGGCTGGGGCTGAAGTAGGTGTGCGGAAGTGTATCCAGTCCCCTCCGCAGGCTGCTGGCTTGGGGTCCCTGGAGCTGGGGACAGGTGCCTGCCTTTCCGTGTCCTCCTCCCAAACTGTGCCAGCTGGCCCAGTCCCCCCACCCCAGGCCAGTGTCAGGTTCCAGACTGTTCCCCGGGGGAACTTTGATCTGGAAAGAATGAGAGTGACCAAGCTGGCAGGTGCCCAGGGCCGAGCCGTGCCACTAAGACCTGGCCTGGGCTGCCCCTGCCACCTTCCCGCCTGTGGGGGCACCAGGCAGTCACTCCAGGGCTCAGGAGACACAGGTGGGGTCTTTTCTGCTTTCCTGCCCCCCTGTTCTCTCCACTTCCATTCACTGTTCAGTCACTAGTTCCTACACTGCTTCATTAGGTGCCCCTCCCTTCACTCACTCATTCAAATGGCTGATGGAGCTGGGGGCTGGGCCAGGGGTCAGAGGGATGAGAGAGGCAGGGCCTTGCCCTCTCAGGAGCCCCAGAGATCACTACTCAAGACAGACAGCAGCTCCACACTGGAGGAGGGAGCCAGGGCAGGAGAGGAGGGATATATTTCAATGGGCATGGTGGGCAGGGAGGGGAGGGGAGGAGTGCTAACAGGCCTCATCAGGGATGGCTTCCTGGAGGAGGTGGCATTTATACTGGGCTCTGAAGACCTAAAGAAGGGAGTCTGTCAGACAGCATGGCAAGTGGAAGGGATGCTTCAGGCAGTGGGACCAGAGCAGCCACAAAGGCAGAAGTGTGGGAGTTCGTGCATTTTGCTGCAAGGGCCTTGAAATGCACCCTAAGGCATTCGACCCACTGTTGGTGGAGGGGAGTCATGGGTCAGAGGGATAGTTTTGTTAGAGAAAGGAGACTTGGGGGGCATGCAGGGGAGATAGCAGGCTGGTGGTCCGGGTGCTGGTCTCCTCCAGGCCTCCCCAAGGAGCTGCTAGCGCCCGCAGAGACCTCCCGAACCGCTCCAGCCCCAAGGGGGTCTCCAGAATGATTCTGAGGAAGCCAGGCTTGTGTGTGGGCTGTAAAAGGCTTTGCAGGGCCCTGGCCCAGGCCGGAGCCCAGCCCCCTGCCTCTGCCGAGACTCCCTACCCCCACTGCTCACTTGGAGTGACACAGCCTTTTGCTGGGCTGAATGAAGACACTTCCCGGCCTGCAGGGCCCCTGGGGAAGGCCCGGGGAGCCACAGCCCTGGAGCTCTGCCTCCCCCAGTCCCTATACATAGCCCAGGGAGGGGGAGGGGAGGCGGGCCAGGCAGGGCTGGAGGGGGCAGGCCTTGGATGGGAAGTTGTGGAGCAGCGGGGGAGAAGGGAGGATGAGTCCAGAGTTTGAGGCCCAGTTCTGCCCCTGATGATGACTGCTCGCCCCTCGGGGTCTCAGGGCCCTCTGGGCCGGGACAGCCCGGCTGGCGGAGCGGAGCGCACGAGCACGTAGACGCAGGGAGTGTCGTTCTAAGAGGACAGGAGGGGCCAGTCCTCCTTCCTGTGTGGCTCTTCAGAGGCGCAAGGGTCAGGGTCTTAGCTGTGAGGGCCCCAGGCCGGGGCTGTCCTGCCCCAGAGACCACAGTGGCCCAGGACAGGCTGTGGTGGGGTGCTGTTCCCAGGGTGGGGGCAGGGTGCTGGGGTGAGTCAGTGGAGACCTTTCCAGGCCATGGGGCCAGGGCTTAGGGGCTGGGACCTGAGTGGGGAGGGGATCCTAGAAATGGAAACTGTGAGCCCCATGGCCTTATCTGGGCTGGAAGCAGCTGTCTCCACTCCACACCCCCCGCAGCCCCTGCCTTTGCTGGGAGGAGGCAGGCCCCTCCACATGGGGATGTGTGCTGTTTGTTCTCTGGGCAGCCTGAGCCTCAGCAGAGGCCCGTGGGAAATTCCTCCTCCACTAGGACCATGAGGGCCCAACGTTGCTCGGCGGGTTGGGAAGCTCTGCTCTCTCTTACCCTCTGTCCAAATCAAGGCCACCCTTAAAACCTTGTATGCAAGTCTCTGCGGAGCGCCCAGGATCCCTAACTTCTAGAGACAGACTTCTAGGTCTGCTTAAAGAGGCAGCCAGAGATGGGGCACCTGACTTGTGCAGTCAGACACACAGTGATACACAAACGCTTGATATATGGAAGCATATGGAGACACTCAACATACACATACAGGCATGCGTGCGTTCTACGCTGACACATGTGCAGCAGGCATGCATTTGGGTGTGTCTAGAACACGTTCCGCACGGATGAGCACATGCATAAAAGTCCCTCCTATAAAGACAGGTGCTTGGAAATGTACCCACACCCCACACGCCACATACACGTGCAGGTCCTGTAGACTCTGCAATGCCCACATCTTCCCTCCGCACTGACACACCCACACTGGGACACGCAAGCATGATACGTGCACAGACACGTCCTCAGATACGTGGGAGAAAGATGAAAATGTGTGTCCAGCAGAGTGTCCCTGGGATGGAGTTTAAAGCAGGGTTTGGTAGAAGGGAATTGGAGTGACCCAGGGGGCAGGGGTCTCCTCCATCACCCTACGCAGGGGCCTCAGGGTTCCAGGATTCAGGAGAGTTCAGGCAGGCAGAGCTCTGGGGCAGAGGGCAGAGCCCCATGTGCCCCTCTCCTAGTCCTGGCTGGAGATGAGGCCTGAGGCCTCCACGACTGGCCCCCCTGGGCTCCTGCGCAGCCTCCACCACACTCCCACCTCCCTGCTTAGCATTCCTCTTGGCTCCTGAACCCAGCAACCTGGCAGGAAAAGATAAACGTTAGCCCTGCATCCACACCCGTATGGATCTCATAACAAGGCAATGGTTTCCAGGACAGAGGCTGGATTTCAGATTGGAGAGGAGGGGTGGGAGATGGTTTGTTTGCCAAGGGGTCCGGCCCTGGAGTGCATTGCTCCACTGGGTCCTTGTTAGTCTACTCCCTTTGCGTGCCTGCAGCTGGGAACCCTGGGGAGTGGGGAATGACTGGCTTCACACACCTTCCCAATTATGAGAACTCCCAGGCCCATCAGCCACCCAGCAAGCTGAGGGCTGCAGGCAGGCAGGGCCCATCAGGGCCTGGCAGAAAATGGGTGTGGCCGATAATGGGTCTGGCCTGGCCCCTGACCTTCCAACCTGAGCCCATCCCGGCAGAGGGGCTTGGAGGGGTGAGGTGACCAGTGAGGTTGGCAGCTGCCTTTGACTCAGTGCAAAGGCTGTGACCTTCAAGACAGGGTTGTGCAGTACCTGTGAGCCCCCTGTGGCTCATCATGCCCTCTAATGCACCCTCTCTGTCACCCATCTCAGCCCATCCACTCATCCTGGTGGTTCCACTGGCTCCCCAGTAAGTCCCCTTTTTCGAGGGATTCCATCACCCCATGTTCACAGAGCACTTTCTAAAGCCAGTTGTCTCTCCAGGTGTGGGGATGGATGAACAGCTGAGACAGACAGCCCCAGCTCTCTGAGGATGGGGTCCAACGCGTGCACGCAAGTGTGTGCATGCACCTCACCCACGCCT